CTGAACAAAAAAAACAACAACAGAATTTCTTAAATGTCTCTTCAAACTTTCACTCAATTATAAGTGATAAAATCCTCTCAGGTTATCAGTTACATCAGATATGAATAGATGTGGCTTATCTGAGAACATTGTCACATTTCGTTGTAACATCAAACCTGGAGAAGTCTGGTCTATTGAAGTTTTCTTTCAACATGGGACACACCAAAAGACAATAACTAAAATGCAGTATTAGATGGCAACAGTATGAACACTTCCATGTTAATCCGTAAATTATGTAATGCTATACCCTGGGCCAGCCCCAATTGTACCACACTGTTTCATCCAGCTATCTTTAGCTCAGTGCCTTACCTCATTATCTGAATTCACTTCCCAGTTTCCACATTATTAGGTACTAGTTTAATTTCCATTTTTCCAGTCCCATGTCAAATTTTTTATATACTGCACCTCTGTTATAAAAATGTTTCATTCTCTAAAGCAGGGGTTCTCAAAGCAGATGCCACTGATGTAATCTGTGCAGCCTACATGCATCACAACGTAATGATTAATTTTAAAAGAATTATGGAAATTTTATAATAAAGCAGAGGGTAGCCCAAGGTTCGAAACCCCTGCCCTGCAGTTGAAAATGCACTTTGCTCATGACAGACAATGCAGCTGTGTGAGTGACGCTGAAGGCCGTGTCCAACAGCAATTCGCCAATGGCACTACAGCCCAATTTTGGGCCTTGGCCTCCTCCCATGTGGGAGGTTTCTTCGTCCTTGAAGCATTCATCTGTGAGTAGTGTGTGACAAGCCCATTGCCTATAAGCCAATATTATGTTGGGGTATTGTCCCATAAGGTACATTTAAAACTACGCCAGTATACTAACCACTACACCACTTATGCAGCCCATAACTCTTTCTGGCAGTTACTTTCCAATTCTGAGAATTCGTTCTGACCTTCCTAAAGTACAGTAATTGCGAGGTACCTTTCACGATTCCCTGGTTAGTGAGACTGTTTCTGGCTGTTAAGAATCTGACTATAATTTTGGTCATATCCAGTAACATAATAAGACACTGTTGATAAACTTTGTTTCATATGCAGTTATATTAATGTGGTTCTGATGCATTACTTGTTCCTTATTTAAATTGCAATGTACAAATAACTGGAGGAGTATGTATGTATTGCTTCATGTGGAATGGTTTTCTGAATATTCTTATCTTGACAATGCTACTTCTGTCCATTAATACATCAAGGAATGTCCGAGTTATCCCTCTTCCTAAGGTGAACTTTGTTTCTAGGTGGCCCACATTCACATTAGATTTGCCTTATGACCATCCACTTTTAAATGTTTTTCACGATTTCTCCACTGTGGGACTTAACTGCCTGTTATCTACCCCCTTAAGAACATGTCTCCCTATTATCCCCATACACCACTTCCAACAGCAATGTTCCCAACTAGCACAATCATCACCTGTGGCTCTACAACCCAGTGTAGGTCTTGGACACCTCTTTTGGAGGTTACTTATACATTTAGACAATTAGTGGGACTCCTTGGACAAGTGATCAGCCCATCACAAGGCCCCTGCCTGTACACGACAGCACAACACAGAAAGATGCAAACAAACATTCATGCCATGAGTGGGATTCAAACCCACGATCACTGTGTCTAAGCACAAGAGGCCCATGGTTCCGTACGGCCACTGTGACCAGCAACTAGCACAATGTTCTTCTCAAATAGTGCAAATACTTTTCAATCTCACATAAAAATATCAGAAGCTTCAACATGAGTAAACTGCGCTGAAAACAGATCCGTTACATATGATGAATTCTTTTGTTCCTTTGGTTGGTTGGGAAGTTAAGAATGTAGAATACCCACAGTGCAAGAAGTCTCTTCAGTCTGTGCAAACACAACGGCTGCTTTTAGCATTACATTTGGTGACTGGCTAAACCACATTAATTGTTGTAAAAGAAGAAATTTGGAAATGGTCACACCTTACTTATGACAAAGGAAATCTCATGGGCAGCAGAGCATATGTGAAATGACTACTGCTATACTTCACCACCATGGGAAACATGGAATGTAATCACAAATATTACAGGAAGTGGGAAATATTTTGGTAGGCACAGTTAACCTTAATACAGCAAAAGCTTTTCAAAGGTACAGACATTGAATTCCTTTTGATTTACTGAATTATGAAATTCAGAAACAAACTTACCAAACACTATGGGCACTAAATAAACTAACAAAAATAATTTTTCTGCATCCTTAAAGGGTGGAAGGTTTACAACCTTTTACTCCAAATAACGTTAGCCGCACATCGACGTTCAAGCAGGAAGCCCCTAAAGTCCCTACACACACCAGTTTAAATTAAATTCCCATCTGAAAAATTCTTTATCCAACGCTTTTCAACCACCGCTTCAGGACACGGCCTAGCCAGCCATGGTCAGGCAGGCAACACTTAATGAACTAAGAATATGTGTAATCAATGGGGAATAAAAATAGCATGGATATTTACTATCTTACCTAAATCACCAACGTAAAGTTTGCAGTCAGAAGAACCGGAATCCCTGTAACGCGACATGCTAGCTATCCTGCAAAAATATAATAAGACACCATTGATTAACTACGTATTTCGGATATTAACTGAAAGAAACGTCTTTAATATACATTTATAATCACTAAACATGCAGCCACATTAACCAAAGACTTACCAAACACACCGTAAGCAATACGAAACAAATTACTTCTCGAAAATAAAGTAATTCAAATACTAAACCACTCCACACTATCTCACGAAACAAAATGGCCAAAACATATAGCGGAAATCGGAAAAGACGCTATTGGAATGATGGGAAATGAGCGGGAATCAAGAAATCCTCAGGGTATGTTCTGAAAGAAATACACTGTTTCCAGATTCAGAAACCGCCGGCTCAAAATGAAAGATTATAATAGTTGCGCACAATTTGTAGATCAATCAAAGTTGAAAGCCTTATGAGATATGCTGTTAATGACTGGGCTCTTACAAATCACAATGTGCCAATTTCCACGCATTCCTACTACGTAATTTACAGACGCCCTTTGTTTGACACATTTTCTGGTGGTATCCCTGCACTCGCTCTCACTGGAAAACTACTAGGAAAATATCAACGTGTACCCATCATAACAAACATTTCTCAAGCTATATGAATTCTTGATCACCATGTAAGCAATATAAACTGACCTAATGACTAGCCCCAGCTTCTGAGAAAAAAAATAAGTCTCCTTTCATGAAACAATGAGCTTCACGTGGCCAGAAAAATTCCTAAGTTAGCTGACCCAAATGTTGGTAATTTCAATACAAACAGCATCAGCTATGACATTGCAAGCAATGCGCATGTTAATCACCCTCATCGTATGAAGTCAATGATCGATTGGAAAAAACAATTTTGCAATATCATGGGATAAAATATAAGAGAAACTGTAGTAGCGGCAGGCCGTCATGAACGATGTAAAGAAAAGGTTGACAGTGGAACCACGGTTCCGGAGAATCTGACGTAAATACGTCTCTGTAATGTAATGAAATGTAATAATTCTTACATAAGATAAGTACCTGTAATATTCTAAAACGTTTTTACCAGCACAAAATTATCAAGTCTACGACGCACTTCTTCTACAAGTGATTCACAGCTCAGCTCTTTCCACAATAACGAAAGCGGATTGTTGACGTCAGTAATGTAACACAACAATGCACGCAGTTCATATAAAAGCTGACCATTGTTGTTGACGGCAGTAATGTAACACAACAATGCCGAGTAAACAGATGACGTAACAATTAGTTTCTTAGGTAACATAACCATTGTTGTCAGTCCATATTTATAAATTGTTGATATGGACCTTGCACATCTTCGTTACGCCTTTTTGCCGAATGACCCTTCGTATAGACGTAGTTACGTCAATAAAATTGTTCAAATTCGAAATAACCCCAATTAGAATTTTTGGATTTTATCATACAAGGATTTACCATTCTAATATGACATTAAATTTATTAATTTTATAAGCCCCATCTGTTACCATGAATGTAGAACTGAAAACTTAGTATTGTACTTAAAAAACTTAGACAATAATTTTGCCTGTTGTTTTGTATGGGTGTGAAACATGGTCTCTCACTCTGGGGGAGGAACATAGATTGCAGGTGTTTGAGAATAGGGTGTAAAAAAGGGAAGAGGATGGTGTATCGAGAAAACTGCATAATGATGAACTTAAAAACTTGTACTCCTCCCGCAATATTGTCAGAGTGATGAAGTCAAGAAGAATGAGATGGGGGAGGCATGTAGCAAGCATGGATGGGGCAAGAGGTGTGCACCGGGTATTGGTCGGGTAGCCTGTGGAGAAGAAAATGCTGGGTAGACCTGTACGCAGATGGGAGGATAATATCAAGCGGGATCTATGGGAGATAGGAGTTGAAGGTGACTGGATTTTGTTGGCCCAGGGAAGGGACCAGTCACCAGTTAAATAAATTATATTCTTTATAGAAAATAACCTTCTTTCATCTTTAAGCATATGTCAGAGGCATATTAAAGGATCCAAAGACTTTAGTAAAGGCTATACAATTATATAATATATCTTCTATTTATTTCTACTATTTGTATATACTTATTCACACAAAATATATATTCAGGCACGCATGTTTCAACATATAATAATATTACTATGTACAAATATCTTTTAAACAATCATTTTAAAAATCTATTTTATGTCTTAGACCAGTAATAATTACACAGTATCCTGTCTTTCTCCCTGCTTTGGTTATTATTTATAATTGAGGGTACATGCAAAAAGAGTCTACAGTGCAATATGAAGAGTTCGATGTATATTCTGCAAATTAAGTTTAACAAAGTTTACAATATTGCAAACAAAGATACTCTGCTGCCAAAATTTATTAAAATTTGTTGTTTCACCACATAAAAAAAATCAGTCTTCATCACAAATAACCAAATCTATTGAGCTGCTATATTTACTCTGAAGAGCTGAGCCTCGTGGGGGGGAGAACAAGGTCATTAATAGTTGAGTTGTGCCTGGTCTTTCGAGAGCCCTCACTGTCGTTGTCTACGTTTGGATTCACTGAATGAGATAGGGCCACAGTTTTATTGAAGTCTATTGTTGCGTACCTTTCTGAAGCTCGCCCTGGAGATTCTGGTGGAAGAGACAGACTGGAGGGTGGGGCAGAACTGAGAGATGCTGGCTGCTGAGAAGAGTTAGTATTACCCGCCACTGAGTCTGTTTTATTTTGGTCTAGATCTAGCATAATATAATTCACTGTCCGGAGCATTCCTGGAGGTGGGGTCATTGGATTCTGTTGTGACTGAACTGTGAAAGAATGTAGTGGCAGAGGGGGCACTCTGTCTGTTCCAGACAATCGCTTTGGAAGGTGGCTTCTAGCCACTTCAATTTCACTCAGTTCTATATTGGCATAACAATGGCGTGGTTCTTCTAATTCCCATTCTTGCTGCTGCATGCCAAAAGAAGGCATTGCCGGTTTAGGCCAGATGGTTGTGGACGGTTTATCCGGAGCAGCTGGCACACCATTTTCTGGTCCAGGGATGATATTCATATAAAGATGACAGTCTTGAGCATCATTTGTCAGTTCAAGACGGGCATAAGTTGACTCTCCATCAATGCTACAGGTTGGGGACAATGGCTCTACTCCTGCACTGAGATCTATATTGATGTACGATGGTGCTGCGTACATTTGGGCACAAGATGTTAGTTCAGCACTTGGACTTGTTGGGATGCCATCACCACTCACCATACTCTGCCGATACATAGTCTTGTTCCCAACATCAGTTGGAAAAGTGGGTGCCTCTATACCAGGAATTGTCTCACTACTGGGGTCGGGTAGACGGATCATTTTTTCGGGCTGCTGCTGTTGAACACTTCTTTCAGATGGCTCTGTTGGTGTTACTACTGTTGTTGTTGTTGTTGTTGTTGTTGTTGTTGTTCCTGTTGTAGTACTGGTACATGCTGTTGCTGCCAAAAAAAATTCCTCATTGGCATAAAACAAAGCAGGATTGTTGTTGTTTGTTACAGACAAAACTGGAACAGAAGGACTGGGTACAGGTGGTGGAGATGGAGACGCAGTGCCCTGTGGACTCAAGGGACCATTGCTACTGCTTCCAACACTGCTCAATCTTGTTGACCCTCCATTTTGGGATGACAAGCGAATGCTATTTGGAGCATTAACTCGAACACCTGACCTTAACAATGAGAGGTCCAAGTAGGTGGCATCACCACCAATACTTAACCGAGGCGCTACTGCTGGGCCTGGGGCTGAAGGTACTGGAAATTCCTGAAAGACAGCATCTTCACCAGCATTGTTTCTGACTTGAATGTGAGTCTGCAGCAAGTTGAACAACTGTTCTGCTCGCTGACAACGGAAAGCATAAATGCCAGATCCTGTTGGGCATCGCCGACCAGATTCAAAACTAAACAGTTCTGCCTCAAATCCATACCGTCTGAGACACCGTAATGGCCATTTAACTGGATCTTTCTTTTTCTGATATAAGACTAGGTCAGTTTCAGTTATCTCCAATTGTCCAGGACTCAACCGATTGCCTAGTTCATCCACATTCATTACCTGTTTAATAAAACAATTTTAATCAGAAATGCAGGTTCTTGTTATACAAACTTTCTGTCATTCAAAACTTTCTACTATCCTACCTGGAAGATGTTTGGGTGGAGATCATTAATATCCGTCTTACTGGAAATACAACCCATTGTTTTGCACTCTGAAAATATCACAATAAATGCCATTAGCACTGTGAGTGAACAAATTTAAATCGCATCAGTGTTAATAATGTACGTTCCGACATAGATAAAAATATCGTTTTCAAATTCAAATGTTAAATACTAAAATCGCAAAACAGACCTAGAATTAACAAATACTTCTCAATTTACACACACCAGAGTATACATATTCGGTCCAAATCCATATTTATTTCATGTAATTATTCCTGCCGAATATTAAATGACGCACAAACAACTAAGTGGACAAAGATGGAAGCCAACTGTAAGCAACCAATCACTTCTCACGAGTGTCATCTGTCAAATGGCTGTAAACACATATGAGAAGATGAACAATGAAACTATTGAGATAAGCACTGAATGACTGTGTATGATTTAGGAGTTATAGCCCACTAAGAGGATTGGCCTTATCTCAAGAATGTACACGGAATGAATACCTTGTATACATAATACACGAAATTATCAGTATTATATATAACAAACAATTGGCGAAACGAACCGAGACAGTTTCACCAATATATATGACAGAAATAGCTCTAATGACAGAATCTGAAAAAAAAGAAACTTGTAAGCAAGGAACACAACAAACAACTACCAATTGAGATACTGTGGTGTGTGTAAGGATTCTAGTACATCTGAGTTATATACAGTCTGTGATGGGCATTAATCGAAAGGACTGTATGTTATGTTGATAACACTGAGACGACTGACGAAGGTTGGTGTCTATGTTTATGACCATTCTGATGAAGGATGGCGGCAGAGGTTCCGAAACCGAGACGTACTGCAGGCACAGTTGCATACAGAACGCGGAATTATTTCGGCTTGGGTGTGCTTGCTATTGGAGCAGTCTGTGGAATAGTTTACCAGTATGAGATTTATTAACGTGTGATTCATTGCTGTCAGAAACTGATCTCTACGAGAAATTTGTCAAACATAACCTATATTTAATAAATAAATAACGAGTTATGTAGTCTTTAAGTATGGTATTTTCCAGTCATAAATGCATCGAATCGTTCAACGTTGATTCCATTTAAAGATGTTAGCATGAACAATAAAGTACTATAACTTTAGTTGTTTTGTGTGGGTGTGAAGGGGTGGACAAGGATTGAACATGTCCGAGAACTGGGTGCTTAGGAAAATATTTGAACTAATGTGGAATGAAATGAGAGGAGACTGGAGAGAATTACATAATGAGTAGCTCCATAACTTGAATGCTTCACCAAATATTGTTAGGATGATCAAGTCAAGGCAAGAGGAATGAGTATCACATGCAGCATTCATGGGAAGATGAGAAATGTATACAAAATTTTTGTGGGAAGGCCTGAGGGGAATAGATCACTTTGAAGACATAGGCATAGATGGGAGAGGCTTATATTACAATTTATCATAGGGACATGAGGCTGAAGGGTGTGGATTGGATTCATCTGAATTAGGAAGGGTATATATAGGTGGTGGCTCTTGTTAACATGGCAGTGAACCTTCAGGTAGGAAATTCCTTGACTATCTAAGCATACTATGAGTTTCTCTGCTCCCTGGAAGTAGTTAGTTACGACTTTTGTGACAATTGCCATGATTTGATAACTTTCTTTTGCAAGGGGAATAGTTTATTACAGTCATGTAAGTTACCCATTTGTCATGACTATATGAAAATAAGCATAATTTTTTAGTGGTTGTTTACTAGCTACAAATGTAATGGACAAAACTGGGAAATGTGTCGTTTTTAGGTATAATGAACTCAATGCAACTTTCTCTGATTTGTTTTATTCCCATTGCTTAGAATTCATGTTAATTATAATAGCTTAAATATATTCGATGTTTGAAGGTTCAAGGCATCTGAATGCAACACCACATTTACCCTATAAATTTGTTTTTCAGTTTCACTGGCCCAGGTCAGAGACTCAGGAAGTCTATACATGAAGGGAAATTTAGTTCCACAGAAGAAGAACGGGAGAGAAAAGCTTTGATGTCACTTGTACCAAGGAAAAGGGGTGCAACAATTCAAAAATTAATGGAAGAATCAAAGGAACCAAAAAAATATTGATATAGTTTTTGTTGTTAACAGTTTTTAAATCATCAGTCCAGTATACATAAAGCATGAGTTATTAAACTAAATTATTGTATTTTAATAATGGAACCAAATAACAATGATTTCCAATCAAGTGAACCAAAGTCCCATTCTTATCCTAAAACAAGAACAAAGCTGTCAATCAAGCATTGCTCGAGGCTTCAACACAGGAAAAAATGTGATCTTCAAGATCTTTATAGTCCAGTGTCTTGTTATGTTAAAAGGTATTGATCTTTTTTTAGATTTAATTTTTGTTTTTTGGTACCTGTAAGAAGTTTATTGCATGCATTTCTGTGTTGTGTTGTTAGACTTCAACTTTGTATTTATTTCCATCCACGCATCACTACAAACTGTTTTTTTTTAAATATAAGGAAACATTTTCATTTTTGCCAGTACATTCACAGTCATTATGAATATCAATGTTAATCCCATTATAACATAAAAGTATATGTATGTCAATTTAAAGTGAGTATGACTGAGCACACTTTAAAAAGGGCACTTTACACATGTAACAAAACAAATGCTTTATGAAAGGAATGTGTCAGTATAAAATACAGGTGTGTTCAGAGTCGTATCTTCATGGTTTTTAAATATAAATGATTTTAACCAAAATATGTAACAGACAATTAATTTGAAATATGACACTTTAAATTAATGTACATGTAGTTTTACATTTTTAACTGGATTGTCTTTGAGGTTCATAATGATTTTTATTGTACTGGTAGGTGCGGAAACCTTTCCTTGTATGGTATGTAGCATGTTTGCACCAAAACTTGTCTGGTTTAAATAACAAAAGTAAAAACTGTAAGGAAATTAAAAATTACAGGTTGTAACTTGCTTTGAGGTGTCTCATTAAAATTTTCACCAGTCTATCAGAAGAATGTGGGGTCACATTTCTTGCTGAAACATGGCACATGAAAGTAATTTCTTAACAGGTTACATAATAAGTACTGCCTATTTTTATCAAATGCGAACTACTAAGCCTTCCTGCAGTCAGTTACTGTTGCAACTGTTTCCAGAAAAACAAGAACATTTTTAGACTGATTTTCGTATTATATATGGTAACATGAACATAGTATCATCACATCTGTCTCCTAATAAGTTTCGCAAGAACATTTTTAGACTGATTTTCTTATTATATATGGTAACATGAACATAGTGTCATCACATCTGTCTCCTAATAAGTTTCAAAGTAACTGACATATTTTTTTATAAACATTGTATGAATGTCATGCTTTAGTTGGCCACTCTATCTTTATTTTTTTTATGTTCTACTACAAGTAATACCAACTTCTAAGACACAGTTAACACTAGTGCCATTAAATGTAGGGTTCTGAAATTTTGCGCTGCTCAAAAAATATCATGAAGTTTTGTCAAAGAAATTCTGTTGTTAAAACTCAGAGAAAAGTACAGTGTACAGTTTATAGAATATAATCTGACTAGTATGATACCCTGACATTTAATTGGGAGAACTGAAGAACACAGACTTCCCAAACTGTTACAAAATTACAGACAACAAGGATTAAGTGCGATGTGAAGTTTTCATGGTGCTGAGTAATCAGGATGACATTAGATCCCCAAAGATATCTTCACATCCCACTATGGGGCCATGGCTCCTGCGTTAGGAACACTGGATTAAGGGACTGAGGATGACCTTTAAAGAGATTTTTGGATATGTGAGGCTTGAATGGATTTTCTTCAACAACAGAAATACAAATGAATGCTAATATTTTGTACTGTTAGGCTGCAGAAACAAACCAGGTTTGAAAAGGAAAAATTAACTTAATCTCACACACAGACTATGATCAAAATGTTGGCTGTGTGTCATGGTTTATGTATGGCCAAGCTTGCCATGCACCACACTAGCATCCCACTAAACCTAACCTAACCTCAGAGCTAAAGTATAGCTACCAGCTCCATAGTGCATGGTTTTAAATCCCCTATATGATGAAGGTTAGTCTCAGTTATGACAGTCAAAGTTCAGAGTGGTCATCATTCCTATGAGCTGCTTAATAAGAGATAAGAGTTAACATTCTATACCCTTCTTACAATGGCAAAATTTTATATTAAAATTTTCAGCAGTTTTAATGCTGTACATACAGAGCTAGTAATTTTCCATGGCTTATGCTCACCTCACTTGCAGGTCAGTGCTCTATATAAGAGGGAATTCTGATTTTCTTTTACAAGGTTCACTTGTTCTAAGATGCATTCATTCCACTGTTCCTTTGTTTGTGCAGAAACACATCAACATTTGAGGCAGACCGTGTGGAAACCATTTTATCTGAACAAGATGATGTTGGGTCAAATAAGATGTCTGACATGAGTGAACAAATTGAAACCACTTCTAATGAGGACAGTAGTAGCAATGATCAGAATATAAACCCCATAACATGTTTAAATTCAGAACCAACAATTAAAAGACATAAGGCATTAAATTATAACATAAATAAATCTGCATTGGATAATAGTGCTATTAAAATAATCAAAGGAAATCCAGCTCATAAAGATGAAGGTACTTTACAGGAATTTAGAAATGAATGTATAACTGTAATAGAACATGGAAGTGGCCTTATAAAAGACAGCAGTGATGAGACTTCTGATCAGAATCAGTGTGTATCCTTTGGAGAGAGAAATAAAACAGATTATGGACTGAAGTGTGTGGGTGAAGTTCATAGTTCTTATGAAGATGGCACAAGGAGACACTTCAAATGTCCGTTGTGTTGGAAGACCTTTGAGAAGCGCCAGACACGCGTGTTGCACATGAAGGCATGTGCGTCACAGCACAATGTTACGACACGACAACTTCTGGATGCTGTTGCACTGCAGGAGAGACAAGCTGCTGAAAGACAAGCGCTGGGTCTTCCAGACATACCCAGTGGTTGTACAGCAAAGAAATCTTCAAGAAAGGTAAATTACTTTGTTTATTTTACTTTGTTTATTTTCACGTAACAAATATATGAGTCTAGACCTTTGATAAATTAGGGAACAGACTCGAGTAATGAAATAATTTGTGGCCTTTTCCAAATGATGGCACATGATGACGGACATTGTATCTCGATGTGGCCTGTCCTCCTCAAATGATGACGGTCATTGTATCTCGATGTGGCCTGTCCTCCTACAACATATCAGATGTTGATACTAAGAATCTGTGATTACCTGCAGGTCACATGGTTTTATGAAGAAGTTATGAAAAATAAAAACAGGAAAAATTCTAAGTCAGAAAAGCCAGTCTATAAACAAAGATTTGAGAGCAGGACCTCTAAAATGTGTAGCAGAAGAGTACACTAGCAACAGTTAACCCAGAATGACCCAGATTTAACAAATAAAAAGTAATGATCATAATGCCATCATGTTCTGAACACTATTTGTTGCTTCAGAGTGGTGGGACTGTGAATGACAGTAATCTGCAACTCGCGCTGGCTTTATCAGCGTCGGTGCAGGAGGCAAAGGAGCATCAGCACTGGTCTTGGCCACGAGGTTGTGGAACGACAACAAATGATGTTGGAGAGGTTTGGCTTCAAGAGATCTTGTCCAGCTGTACTGGCTCCCTCCACATCAAGACACAAAACTGGTAAATTGTCATTTTCTCCTATTGGAAATTAAGCTATGCGTCCATTCATCGGACTCTGAAATCAAAGTTACGAGGATGGGAGCTGGAGAAATATGTGCATTGGTGGGATTTTGGTATTAGTGGTGTTGATCTTTTGGGTTCTCTTTCTAGAGGTGTTGGTTAGTTGATTAATTATTCTGAAATCAAAAGATAAGAGGTAGAAAGTGCTGCTAAATATGCGTGGGGAGGAATATACAAAGTTCAGGAAAAGTTCTGGGAATGATTTACACTATCATCTTTGCTTCAAATGATGAAACAACTTATCCAATGTAGTGACCCATGCGTAATATTTTCATTAGCACAGATTCCAACTGTGTTAGGGGATGCCAGATTGACTTCAGCTCCAGAGTTTAAAACAGGTAAGTGGACCACACAAAAGCTGTCAGGTATAACCTCAATGTTTTGTACAATGAAAGAAAAGTGCTAATAAAATGAGATAACTTAAGTAGCATTTTATGTTATAGCCTTAGTTTCTTAATTTATGAACTTCACTCATTGCATTTTTAATAATCCCATCTGTTTTAGCTACCAAGAATAAGAGCACTAATGCAGTACTGATGAACAGAACCAAAGAAGAGCGGGAGAGACTTATAACAGAAAAAGTTGCAATCATTCTCATTGGAGAGGAGGGTACACCACCATCTGCCACAGCAGACATCCCACAGAACAATCAGCCTGCAGAAGGCATTGTTGAAACAAATAAAAATTTGCAGAAGTATGAGGATAAGGTACCTGTTGCTGAGCAAATTAACATTTTGTAAAATTAAAATTAGTGACAAGGTCATCGTGAATGAATAAACAAATATGGTTTTAAAGTTCCAGACCTCAGTAACAGATGAACCTGAATGGTTGGTTTCATGCTCTAGATACTTTATTCCTGGAGAAAGAGGTCCCAGTAGCCATTGAAAGAGTATTGGATGTGTTCAAAGCTATTCAGACAAAGAAAAACGATTACTGCCCCTTCTGAGAATATTTGTCAGTGAATAAAAGATTGAGGAAATCTTTGAATATGATCTCTGTGCAGAATCCAAACGTTAAAAGAATGTAATTTAAACTGTTTATACCTTTGCTTTTTTCCTCTTATAATGTTTTATTATATTCTGGATGTTCCGCAGTTCCAAAATTTTGAACTACATTCTTGATTAAACTGTTATATTTAAGCACAGTATCTTTATTGTTTCAGAAAGTTGAGGTATTTTAATATCTGCATTAAAAAACCAATGAACGATTAATTTAGTTTTAATAGAAACCCAGTGACAGTTTTGTATTCTGTTTCATTCACAGTCACACTCACTATGGAACATGGGCTCAGTTTCATTATCAGAAAAGGGATTTCTGTCTCACTATGTGAAGGAGCTGAGTAAAATCATATCCCCTAGTAAAGTACCAGCTGGTGCCAAACTGAAACACCTGTCTCAAATACCAGGAAGGAGTAAAACTCCGGTAAAGTCAGGTTATCTTTTAACTGTTGTTTATGTTACATTCATTAAGATTCACTCACATGCAGTACAAGCAATCAACTACAGTTTGCATATTTTAATTATGTTTTTAGATGGTACACAGGAATACAGAGTATTCTGAACAAAATTGTAGCATATAGTGAATATTTAATGGAACGGAAAAATAATTCCTGGCTTCTTGCAGTGTGATATGTGCATTATGATTAGCTCTGAAAAAACAGATTTACATCAAGAGCCAAAGAGATACAGAAAACAATTGAGAATGCATTAGGAAGACATGTGTGCTCAACTGAGGCACATATTTCCACTCTTATTTGTATTATTAAATTATTTACAGGAAAAAACATCACACATATTGTTGACTGAGGGAGACACTTGTTCACTTGTGTCAAGAGGAACGCTTGTCCAGACAAAGACAGATGACAGGAAAGAGACAGAGGCGGCTGAAGAGATAAGACCGAAGGCTAGACAGAGTTCTGTAGACCGACTGACAGATGAAAGCCCCGGGAAAAACAGTTTCACAGAAATGCTTATCAGTGATTGGAAATCACTTTTAAACAAGAAAGCCATGAGTGATCTAACAATTTACGTAGAAAGAGACGAAGAGATTCCAGGCCACAGACTGGTGTTCTATGTCCGTTGTCGAGCTATTTTGAAGGACATTGTGTCTGAGGTGTCTGCTGATGCCACTAAGAAAACGTCAGATATGTTGCTGTGGGTCGATGTATCTTACACAGCAGCATTGGCATTCCTTGAGTTCCTGTACTGTGGCCTTGCAAGCGAGATACTCCGGCTTGATGAAGATGACTTGTCGAATGTGAAGAGGTTGGCTCAGAGGTACCGATTCACAGAACTTTTACAGTATCTACAAGTTGTAAATAATGTAAGAAGCAGAGTTAATGAAAGCACATACTTTTCTGCCAGCTCATTGCCACAGGTATTGACACCGCACCACAGTGTGTCTCGCAGGAGAAAACAGAATTCTCTGCATCCATCCAACCAATGTACTGGGTTCCTAGCTATCTCCTCACCCAAAAAACAAATGTATTCAGAGGATACATTTAGCAGCCACAAACTTTCAACAGAATTAACTGAAAAAAGTGTATGTTCAGTGTCTTCTAAAACGAGAGATATAAGTAATGAGTTCCATGATTCTGCAGAATCAAAATTATGTAGCAATGCCAGATTGTCTCCAGACTTGTTTCGGGACGACGAGGGAGAGTGTGTTGAGACATCACAAGAAAATAGGAGTAGCATGGATTATCTTTTAAGTATGATTGGTAAATCATCATTGTCACAGAGTCACAGCCAAACCAACTTCACAGAAATATCATCAGACAAGCCGACATGTCCAAATACGAGCAGTGTTGATCCTTCTACATCTCATCTAAAGAATGATAGTTTATGTGTTACTGCCATCAGTGATGAAGTGTCCACACAAAACGACACGCGCATTAGCTATTCATCACAGTCACATGATAAGAAAAGTACATCCCCTGATAAAGATCTCATTTGCATAGAGCATCATGATGATATTCAGGATAAATGTGATTTCCTTACAGCCACATTAGTGCCAAGAAGTCACGCGACTCCAGAAAGTGTAAGCACCATTTCTCCAGTAAAAACTGGAGCACAAAGAAATTTGTCAGGTATAAATTATGAGAATCATCGACAATCATCACAGCCCAAAGAAGTGCATAATGAGTGCATTCGATTTGAAAATCCTCAGGAAGATACTGCAGATGTTGAATCAGCCTCTGATGGCATTGATTTCCTCGAGCATTTATTATTAGATTCTCACAGCAATTATATGCAGGGAGACATAAAAGGGAGAGTGGAGTCAAAGAGAAAGCATAAAGAAAGTGATACTGTAAGTGACCATTGTAGTTCTCTTACAAAGAAATTATGCAGTGATGGTTCTGAGCATGAAAATGTTGAAACATTCTTTGATACAACAGAACTCCAGGAACAATCTGATAAATTTAGAACACTTGAAGATAATGTTACTGAAATAATTGACTTGACCCAGGATAGCATAGATTCAGAATCCCCGTTAACACCACCAATTAGAGCAAGCATAGTGAGCACAGACATGGAAACTGAACATAATTCCCCAAGTGTCACAAAAGAATACTCAAAAATCACAGTTTGGAATGATTTATTCAAGAAATCAGATGACATAAAGAATACTCAAAAATCACAGTTTATAATGATTTATTCAAGAAATCAGATGACAGCAGCACAAGAGATCAGACAACAAAGTCTGTGCATCTTGACAGTGACAGTAAATCTGGTGTTGAGGAAAACACCACATCAGTAGAAGAACTTGATAATTGGGACAGATTTGATGAAATGTGTAATGCTCCATTGCCACAGATATTCTCTCAATGTCTGACGCAGATGATTTCAACCCAACCCACTTCCAAAAAATCTCTGAAATCAAGTACGTCATCAAATAAATGTAGGATATCACAAAACAGCGGCTCCAGAAGCCTAAGATTATCACCTTCTCTTCCAAAATATTCAGTTCAAGAAACTCCAAATTATTCATCTTCATGTAGCAGTTCTCCAGTTAGAAAACCTGAGAATGTTTCAGAGAAAATAAACGAAGTACCATCTCGCGAACAGGAAAGTCTGAAAGGGAAGGATGTGTTAGACAATTTAAACAAATCTGTATTTTGGAGAGATGAGAATGAACCAACGCTGAGAATCGCTCCGAAACAGACGGCACACTCAGACCACAGTAACATTGCAGAACACAGAACACCAACCCGGAAACAAATGCACGTTAAGTTTTCAGACAGAGTAACACCTTCTGCAGACTACAGTGCAATGAAGACACCACAACTGAAGGTATCCATGGTTACTTATGTTAGAGCTAATACTTCAGCATTTGTAATTATTTGTGTCAGTGGTTTAATCAAGAAGCAGTTTTAATAAAGAATAACATGAATAATGGACACAAGTAGCACAAAATAAATCAGAGGAAGATGTATGATTTGAAGCTTTTGTGTTAACGTAACTCTATGAAATCTTTTTGGGCGATCAGCCACATCAACTGGTTAAAAGAAGAAATGTCAGTTTCTTCTTTTAACCAGTTGACACGGCTGATCACCCAAAAAGATTTTATTGACTCAGAAGAAGACTTCCTTCTTCATCCCATATTCTACTTTAACATCACATAACCTCTGCAGTTGATAGAGTATTGTTAAATAAATTATAAATCTATTCCAAAGAGTCTCTTCCACTAGAAATTCTATATTGCTTGATCAGGCCTTAAGCTTGGACCTGTGTGAAAGCCACAGGACCAATTGCATTGGTTTCATCAATTTACTTCTTGTCTTTGATGAAGATTTGGTGTAACTCTATTTTTTCCGGTATATGGTTGTGTTTGTTTACAGAAAGAACTTAAAAAATACGGCCTAAAACCTTCGCTGTCAAAGAGACACGCTAAAATAATGCTGAGGTACATATATGACCAGTTGCACCCATACGTCTCTGTCAGCGACTCTGAAGTTGACGTACAAGAGTCAGAAGTGGAATTATCGCCTTTCAAAAAACCAGGCTCGGACACGCAGGTTCCAAGGAGTCCAGTCTGGAAAGATAATAATTTAGGGACGTCAGGAAGTTCAGCAAGGAAAAACATTATGAGAACAGAAGTTGTATCTCACGAAGGCTGTCCTGTTACACAAAGAAGAAATTATGCATCTCAGAGTGACACGGGTTCTGATTCTGATGACTTGTTACTGTCACAGGAAAGGTAAGAATGACTTTCCATTTTCCTTTCAAGCTTTCTGGGTTCCTTTATCTCCTAATTCAGTCACAGCCACCACTAAGATAGACTCGTAAGCTTAATGAAACATAATGGGTAACTTTGACATTAGTAGGATTGTGATCTTCAGGGTTATGATAGTGTTGTCTTGTACATTTCAGGGTAGAATTTAGACTTCACATCATCTTAACTAAGAAGACCACAATTTAAAATGCCACTGCCATAAAAGCCAAGACTTTAATATGATAGGGCTTTGATATTTTTGTGACATCTGTTGTTGTTAATAAAGGAAAGCAAATATTTGTTTGCAGTTTTAACATCTGCTATGTAAAAACAAAAAAGGTTTTATATGATACATTGCATTAATAACATTGATCCTTAGCCCTTAAATGAACACGTGGCTTTCATCAATTTCAGCTCATCAAGTAGTGCACAAAGTGTTGCAGAAGAGGCATTTTGTGAGGAACTTGACGATTTGAGCCAAGGAAATGTTTCATCATCACAGGATGGTTTGTAACTCTTAGTAATAACATTTATGTATGTCACGTAGCTCTGAACAAAGAGCAATCTGTAATTCTTTATTCTGACATATAATATGACCACATGTGAGCCGAGCATGTCTGCCGCCTGCACCCATTACACCCACAGGGCGGCAGCGTGGCTCTGACCTGTGGTTTTCAGGGGTAGGGCATTATTACACTACCTGTAAAATATTTTTAATATCCTTATTTGAGAGTAATGTATATAAAATATGTAAAGTCTGACAGAAAAATCAACGGCTAGTAGCAAGAAATTGTATTTGGTGCAGTTTGGTGATAATATGCTCACATTTATACACATGATTCGTCATTAAATTTTCTGTAAAATGTGCTTCAGTTGGTCAGTGACATTCTGTTTCTCACCTGTAGTTTTTTTCCATTTAATTTATGAAAGACCTAATTATTTTACATTCAGTTAGTTGAGAAGCTTAATGTACTCCCCCTTGCCAGTGAATTTTTACTGCTATTCATTGTAGACAATATGAAAATGTTTCAAAGGAATTCATTCATACAGAATACAAATACAAAACACAGTAAATATGATGTCCATATTCCAAATGCTAACCTCATTAGTAATTAAGACAGTATTAAAAGATTATCTCTCGTCTTACTTCTGCTCTGAAAGAATTCAATCAAAAGTTCTTTAAATATTTATGAAGCTAATATCTGACATAATTACTTTGCTGTGTACAGTATTAAAATTAAATTAAATAAAATTACTGTCAACTATGTATTTACATTTGTTTTAAGTGCACACAACATTGTGTATCCTTTACCTGGTCCTGTGAAGGGCCTATAAAATGTAAAAAAGTTCAAATTCAGTTTAAATTTAGAAATGTTTTGTACATTTTACTGTATAATATTTTCAGGTGTCTGAATGTATATGTATTTATTTTTGCAGCGTGTTCATCAGCTGATTTAGCAACAGTGGTCCACAATTTTATCACTAGTGATCCAGATCTCCACCAGAAGGTGCTGCTGTATGAACCAATTTGGATAGAAAAGTTGCACGCTGACTTGAAAGCAAACAATTTTAAATTCAAGACGAATCAACTAATGGAGTATCTTGATGAACAAGTAAGGAAACACTGCATTATCATTTGCCGTGTGTGGAATTTAGGCACATCTAGGTTCGATACCTGATTTCCTTTTATAGGATCATCTCGCCATTTGTGGTAAATCGTGACAATTTGGAAACATTCATATTGTTCCCTTTTTTTATTGCCGACATGATTTATCATTATTTTGTCTGTTTCAATAGTGCATCACATTCCGCACTGCTCAAGGACAACGCAACAGGCAAAGGAAAAATCTGATGAAAGGCGCTAAAAGACGAAAGCTTACGAAGCGGAAAAAAGACTCCAGTGATGTGTAGGACGTAAGATCTTCGTCTTCATATGCTATAACTGCATTTTGTTGAAGCAATCAATGTGTGGGAGGACTACTTTAAACAGTTATTAACCCTTTATCATGCCTAACACGGTCAAATTAAATCTTAACATGGTAACCGTAATTTATCTGAATTACACGTCTGAGTGGGTGAAGGTTTATAAATTTAGTCTGACTGAAATACATAATGATCGTGCGTTAGTACCCGATTGCAGTTTTGATAAATCTGAAATTGATATTAAAAAAGTTTAAAATATACATATATGTCATAAAATACTGATCAGATTCTTATTGAGTGTATCAGAACAGAAGGGAAATTATTATATTTTGAGACCCATAAAGTTAAGCATATTATTTGCAATAATAAAGAACTGCCATGATGGTGGAAAGCAAGTTCATGAAAATCACTGTAATAATTACTAAATTTTATTCATTCTGACTTCATATGAAGTTTTATACAATATATTTCTAATAAAATTACCAGAGTGTAGATTAAATCACTGGGGATCTGTAGCGCAACTCAAACATAAATCAACTACTGATCACATCTTGCATGTTAGTCATATATTAGAGAAACAAGTTTGGAAACATATGCATAGCACAATAATTCTGGTACATTTACTTTGTCATAGCGTAAATCATGTTTTATATTTGTCTACAAGTTTAATTAAAAATGTTTTATGCTTGGATACATAACTGGACAATAATCCTTGATAAGCACAAAAATATGCATTCATGTCTTCGTGTTATTTTGTTCCATTTAAAGTCCATACAAACAATGGAAGACAGTTCTACCTAGAAAAAAATTCTTGGCCGACAAACACGGGTCAACTAATGGGAGTTTACACTTTACGAAATACGATTGATTTGTCAGAAAGCCAGTTAGAATGTCTGCTTTAGGCAATACAATCATATGCATGTAATAGGTAAAAGTTTAACCAAATTGAGTTTACAATCATGCAACGACGACTTCAATTTAGGGACTGCACCGTTCTTTGTTTCACCTTATCGCCACGTTAAGGCACAGGACATGAGCAAGACCTGAAACAAACAAAACAAACAATCGATCTTCTATATAATAACGGCAACAAACAAAAGTTGGAAGTAATTAAAAAAATTAACACACAAAAGTTACCTGTGTCCTCAGTATTCTTGATCCCTCTTCTGTTGCATGAATCCAAATTTATAGGTAGCTCGAAGAAATTTAAAAATCGTTGTACGCCATCTAGTGCGATGAATGAAAACACAAACGACGCCAGAACTGTAATTTTTAATCCAATGCCGAATTTCGGTACTCTGCATAACTGAAAACTTGGCAGGGCCTTCCTTCTGCTAAAAACGCAATTCAAACTTGACGTGTTGGAAGGAAAGGCCACTGCATTCGAAAATGCAATCGAAACAACGATGTTCATCTTCCGCCTTGAGGCTCTTTCGTAATTCAGTAATAAGAATTACAGCGTCACAATTTTCGGGTTAGAACAGTCCATCTCTAAGAAATTAATTTGTTAAAATAGAGCTGCATTATTGCAACAGTAAAGTTTTATCGAACATCGACGACGACAATTCGGCGATTTTTATTGTCGCTGTAAAATCTACGGATTAATAACGATGCTCAAGACCCCGATTGCATTTTATTACTCGATCACGTGATTCGCTTCTTGAGTACAGCAACATTCGACGTCTTTCTCTAATGTTGAATCTGGAGCTAATTGAAACAAAGAATTAACAGCACACACAATTTCAGTGTAAAGAATCGACCCCGACATAGATTCAAACAGTCTTCCAACAATGAAGTGAAGGACTGATAAAACCAACAGTGTGTGTTAAGTTTTATTGAATCTTCGTCCCAACAATGCGAGTTTTTACCGGAGAGAGAGAGACTGAGAAAGTAATTTTTTTATTTCCTCTCTCCTCTCGCACCGATTTCATTGGTCGTGCCGACTGAACCTGTCAAGTTGTGCACCCTGTAATAAAAAAAAACACACACACAGAAATATCAAACCCTCCTGACTGAACGTCCATTACGCCATGAACACAAAAGCTAAGTTCACGCGACCTAACATGGGC